AGACGCATCACGTAACGTCACGTTTTGGAAAATTTCGTTACACGAGAGACGAGAGAAAAGGAAGATATAACGTAGACTGTAGAGAGAAGGTGAAAGCGAGCTAATGACAATGACAGACGAGGAACGATTGACACAAACCAAGGATTATAAGTAGAGAGGATTGCCTATTATTGTCAAGCGGTTATACCCTTGTGACGTCACTATAGATACGCGCCTCCCTTTTGTGTGGCCCTTCGTCTTTACCCCGACTCATGTGCTAAGTCTAAAAGCTGTATGAGGGAGGGTATAGTTTTTAAAAAGTCTCACTTTTCAATACGTGTATAATGCTACACATGATTTTTTTGAAGTGAAACTTCTTAGGCGGCGGTTTGAATTGGATGAGAATTTTTGAAACGTGTACCCAGTTCCGCCATATTGTGAGTGTTCGTCTGTCTGAAAGTCTGTCACTTTTGTCATAGTATCGCGACAGTAATGCATCAGGGCCGCATTTTCCATTCGAAGATGTCTCAAATGCGAAAAATGTTTGAAGCGCAGAATTTCTATTTTGGGTCTTAGAAGGATCTTCTGTTTCAGTATGTTGAAGTTTCTGTAGCAACTTCTTCTTTCTTGGCGTAATGTAGATTTATTACGTTTTCAGATAAACATTATAAAGAATTTATTTAGTCCGGCTCTGTGTGAGTAGCCATATTGTTAGTGTCTTTAGCCACGCCCACCGATACCGTTTTTATTTTACTATTCAAATGCTGACAGCGTCTCCCTATTATTCTACTAGTCCAGGAGGTGGCGCCAAAAACATGCAAGAGTTTTCGCAAGGCGGATATTTTCAAAATAGGTCGTACTTTAGTGCTAGAATGCTAGTGTACAGTCAGCACTCACAGTTCCGGGACAGCTGGCTCTGGGACGCGGGCAAAGTTGTAATTTTAAGAAGCATCTAAACTGTTTTCTCAAAGCTCAAAATTTATAGAAATTTTGCACATTATCTGTTTGAAGGTCACAGATAACGTATGTAAATCGTCAGACGTCTAGTTCGTTGCAAAAAGGGGGTCAGACGTCCTCAAAGTTTTTATTTTATGGCATTTTCTTCGGTGTCCTGTCAAAATATATTTTTGCAGGTATTTGACAAATATATTTGAAGAAAATGCCATAAAATAAAAACTTTGAGGATAATGTGCAAAATTTCTATAAATTTTGAGCTTTGAGAAAACAGTTTAGATGCTTCTTAAAATTACAACTTTGCCCGCGTCCCAGAGCCAGCTGTCCCGGAACTGTGAGTGCTGACTGTACACTAGCATTCTAGCACTAAAGTACGACCTATTTTGAAAATATCCGCCTTGCGAAAACTCTTGCATGTTTTTGACGCCAGCTCCCCAACTATACCTCAATGCACGTAACGACACGTTTTGGTAAATTTCGGCACACGACAGACAAGAGAGAAGAAAGAAATAACGCGGAGAGACGGAGAAAGACAGCCAATGACAATGACAGCCGACGAACGATTGACACAAACCAAGGATTAAAACAAAGAGGATTGCCTATTATTGTTAAGCGCCGATGCCCTTGTGACGTCACTGCAGATGCGCGTTTTTTTTTTTGTGTAGTCTTTCGTGTTTACACCTCGACTCATGCGCTATGTGTCTAAAAGTTGTATGAGGAAGGGAATTGTTTTTAATATGATTTTTTTTAATGTTTTAATAAAGTTGGGAAAATTAGGAATGTCACCCCCCGGAAACCAGAGGCCTTCGCTACGTCCCTGCCTGGATAGGGCCCACCCGCCATGTTTTGTCAAAACAAAATTGCATAAAACTCCATAGGATTAAATAATAAAAACAAATTGTTTTTGTCAAAACATGGCGGATGAACTCGTAATTCTGAGAACCAATCAAAAATGAGACAACCCACTGTCGCCACTGTCTTGTCTAAAGTCACTGTAATAAATGCACCTGCAAGGTAAATAAGTTTTGTTTGAGTGACGTTTCAATTTATTTCAGGGACCTGGGGGGCCCCTTTTGTGAAAATAGCCCCGGCCCCAAAAGACCTTAATCCGACCCTGAGACAGCTGTCACTCATTTGAAATTAGTTCCTGCCTACTAAACTGTCAATAGTGTCAGATGTCAATCAAATCTGAAAAATGTACGCAACCAACTTAACTTGGAAAATGTTATGTTCTATTTATAATTTTTTCTATTTTGGTGTCATATCGAAGTCTTTGCGACACTGAAAGTAGTTTCGAAAAGAAGCTCTTTGTGACACTCCTTTTTTACTTATCGGAGGTTGGTAACACTGGCTGACTGATGGCCATCGAACTGTCATTCGCGATTTAATAGGCCTGTTCGCACAGCAATCACAAACCAGTCAGAGCGCATTTCATTGGTTGAAAACAATCAGAAACAGTCAGAAAACTAGTTTCAACCAATGAGATTCACTCTGACTGGTTTGTGATTTCTCTGCGAACAGACCTAATAATAGAAGATTTCTATATTTGGCATGTAGTGTTGCCAACCTAAACATATGAAATCAGGAAATATGAGAATAAAATTTCCAAGAAAAGTTTGTTTTTTTCAATTAAACAATACCAAAATAGAAAAAATAGTATAAAATATTCGTTTCATAAGACATTTTATCGCACGGAGGCGAGTTTTCTAATATAGGGCTCGTGCGATAAAATGGCGTCTTATGAAACTTGTATTTTAATGTACTATTTTCGAGAATATACTTCAAAACAGTTGGATGACTCTTATTTTGACAGTCATGACAACGCATACACTGTTACCAACAATATTCACGTAGTTCTTTGAGTTCCCGCTAGGGCTTTCATGACGTGGCGTAAAGATTTTCATTTTTCATATTTTTTTCTATTCCAGGCTCTTGAATTTTTTTGAGTGTCTTTTTTTATAGAATCTGGTTCCAAATCTCAGGATAATTTAGTGTATGGAGTTTGGGGGATCCCGAATGATAATTTAGATACAAAATCTTATCATAAAAAAATTTATGATTTAGATTTTGGAAAACTTTGAATAATCATTTAGAGACAAAATTTTAACATGAAAAAAAATTGAAAGGACCCCGCCGCACACCTCTTATGAGATTTTAGGATTCGGTCAATTTTTCTGAAAATTTGATATGATGCTCCTCTCAACATTCTGTTTAAAAATGTTGATAGCCACAACTTGATCCTATGACTAGTTTCTGAGATACAGGTAGTTTAATGTCCAAGAAATGCACACATTTTTATGCATTTACTACCTGTCACCTGAGCATGGGGATACCTGTCAATCTTGGTACACTTGGCCAAATATAAAACTGATGGTATAGCATTTCCAAACTCAATTGGAACAAGGTACCAACTAGTGGCTGACTGGTCAATGAAAATTTCCATAAGAAATGCACTGCCACTAGTCAGCCACCAGTAATGATTTATGTTCACCATGTTCCAATTGACTTTGGAAAAACTATACAGGCAATATATACTCCTGGACAAAATTATCGCACCACTGCTTATGGTGCTTATGTGCAGTGGTGGTACGATAGTTTTGTCCAGGAGTATACTTATATTTTTTTAATTTGCCTAGTGTGAGTCAGGCTTAACAACAAAAAGTCTCTTCTGAAAAACTTAGGTCAGATAGTTTTTGTCAACGTCAAAGCTGAACAAAAGTAAATGCAACATGTTTTTATGTTATGATTGGTTCGAATATGACCCGACTTGACTCTTTTTGTCATTGTTGAGGTGATAAAAAAAGGTCGATTTACACAATACAACACAATAGGAAAATGCTTACCAGTTTTATGATAGGCCAAGTGTATATTATTATGTGACAGGTAGATGTAAATGCATATGAAATGTGTGCATTTTTTGGACATTAAACTACCTGTATCTCGAAAACTAGTCATAGGATCAAGTTGTGGCTATGAACACTTTTAATCAGAATGTTGAGAGGAGCATCATATTGAATTTTCAAAATATTGACCGAATCTCAAAATTCTATAAGAAGTGTTAGTTGAAACAAGGTGAAGATAAATAACGACTGGTGGCTGACTGGTAATTGAATATTTCCATAAGAAATGCACTGTCACTAGTCAGCCACCAGTTGCAATTAATTTTTACCTAGTTTCAGCTGACTTTGAAAAGACTACTAATAGTCCAGGAGGTGGCGCCAAAAACATGCAAGAGTTTTCGCAAGGCGGATATTTTCAAAATAGGTCGTACTTTAGTGCTAGAATGCTAGTGTACAGTCAGCACTCACAGTTCCGGGACAGCTGGCTCTGGGACGCGGGCAAAGTTGTAATTTTAAGAAGCATCTAAACTGTTTTCTCAAAGCTCAAAATTTATAGAAATTTTGCACATTATCTGTTTGAAGGTCACAGATAACGTATGTAAATCGTCAGACGTCTAGTTCGTTGCAAAAAGGGGGTCAGACGTCCTCAAAGTTCTTATTTTATGACATTTTCTTCGGTGTCCTGTCAAAATATATTTTTGCAGGTATTTGACAAATATATTTGAAGAAAATGCCATAAAATAAGAACTTTGAGGACGTCTGACCCCCTTTTTGCAACGAACTAGACGTCTGACGATTTACATACGTTATCTGTGACCTTCAAACAGATAATGTGCAAAATTTCTATAAATTTTGAGCTTTGAGAAAACAGTTTAGATGCTTCTTAAAATTACAACTTTGCCCGCGTCCCAGAGCCAGCTGTCCCGGAACTGTGAGTGCTGACTGTACACTAGCATTCTAGCACTAAAGTACGACCTATTTTGAAAATATCCGCCTTGCGAAAACTCTTGCATGTTTTTGACGCCAGCTCCCCAACTATAAGGTAAAGTCCGTCAGTTGTAATCTGATACTCGAAATGAATGTGAGCTGGTGACACCCTACATTAGAATGCCAATGTTCACCTGACGTCACACCTGTTTTTGCCATATCCTTCACCCCCTCGCTCCTCTACAATCCCTGAAAATAGAGAGAAATAGAATCGCGTTAATGAAAACATCTTCTTTTCAGATTGGGAGCAAGTATTAAAAATGACAGTCAACCAGACGGCAGTCCTGTACGATCTCCATTCAGACGCACCTTTCCAAAACCAATCGATTTAATGGCTCCACCAAGGAAATCATCAAATGTAATACATAATTGACCTTTATATGCATTAACTCTCAAATGTTTTTTTTTTTTGCAGAAATCTAAAATTAAAGGGAGCTTTTTCACAAGGACCTTCTCGTTCACCAAAGAAATTTTGCCAAATAAAAAACTCGGCGACCAACCATCGACGTCGAAAGAAGAAGCCTCTTCTAGCGGCGTTTCGTCGGCGCAAAATTCCTCTTCAGGTGACGGCGAATCCGTTCCATCCACTCCTCAAGCTTGACGGCAATCGAATTTTTCATTCACTTGACAAAAATTATTAGAATTTGCTTACAGAGAATGACTTTGGACTAAAAATATTTTGCCAATTTTTCAAACAGTTTTTTTTTTTTTGGTTTTTTCTGCGGCTCTTTGATAAATTTAAATCATTAGTTGCCATTCGCAACTTTTACGTGATATATTTTGTGATAATAATGACTGTTTGAATTATTGTTGGGTTGTTTGTTCTCTGATCATTCTGTTTATATTAATTAGAGTTTTCTTGGCACGTTTATATATTGGGTAATATTTCTCTTTTTTTGACAATATAATATAGGTTTAGGTTTTCATATGAATAATCAAACCCAAGGGCTCTAGTCTTCAACAAGATTGAAAATTGGTTTTTTTTGGGTCAACTGTATTCATTATTATATTTATACAAGGTATTAAACAAATTGTACCTTGTATAAAACACCCAGTATATATGACAATCGTTTTTTTTTTTTTGTGATCTGCCCATATTTATTTGTATATTTAACATGTTGTGCTTCGTTCAGTATTAATCTCTTTAGTGTACAGGGTGAATTACGATTATATTATGTTTATTTTAATTACGAATAATCTCTTTATATCGAAATATTAGGTTTGATTTTTATATTTTGATAGGTCGATGGAAGGATTTTACACAATTATCCAGCATCGTATTGATTTTTAAAGAAAAATGTCCAAGGTGTGGAAAATCTTTGCCTCAAAATTGGATATTTTTCTCTAAATAAAAAAAAAAAATACCTATATATTTTAGAAAAGGCTGTGGTCTGCTTTTTTTTTTCTTTCAATGTCGTTGAGTGTGATAAATTTTGTATGTGTATATTGTCTGCGATAATGTGGGAGTAAATAACTGAGCAAAAAAAACCACAAGACTGGATTAGATATGGCAGAACAGTGTAGTTAGGATATAAACGAAAAAAAAAAAAGTATTATTTTTAAGTTATGTATTTTTTTTATGTGTGATTAAATACCCTATAATTGTAATAAATTGACAACTTAAACATTTACTCCAATAATAAATATATAGCCTTGTCCAAAAAGGAGACTCTCATACCTCTTATTAAGCTAGAAAAAATGATAGAAAGCAATACTTAACTACTTATGTTTTTTTCTTTTTGGGGAATAATGATTTATTCTTCAAAAAAGAAAATAATAACAATCCCTCTATACAGGGTTAGTGGTAATTCAATCTATTCCCATTGATAATGGAAATAAGTAAAACTAATAATAACCCTGTATAAATTGCATGTGATATTTTACTTTTAAGAATTAGTCTTTTCATGGTCTGATACAATCAATCAGATTATAGAGTAGTACAAAAGCCAGTAAAGTGATAGACATTAATGTGTGTTTTTTCCAATTATTTCATTTTTGTTATCTTGACCAAATTTTCCAAGCAATTATTTTTAGTAATCAAAAAGAACAAGAATGATAAATTAGATTTAATAAAATGTTGCAATAATAAACTTTCAAGAACCAACCAAAAAGTCTGATGAAAATCTTGTTCTATGAAATTGTCATGTAAAGTATAACCATCCAACTTCACGCACATTTTTTTCTTTTAGGGCATAAGTTGAATTTTTACTCTTTAAGTACTGTGTTTATTCGTTTATATTTTTGATTATTTTGTAGCTTTTATATTTTTAATTTATCGACTATAATATTATAATAATAATAATAATAAACACTAATAGTAATATTTAAAAAATGCATAATCAGAAAACGTATTATAAAAAAAAAAGTAGTTGTGTAGATGTATATTTAAAAATCATTAAAAAATTATATATTTCTTTTTTCTTTTAACATCACACTTTTTTTTTGCTTGTTTCTTTTTTCTATTTAATTTTTATCATAAAACAAAAGCCATATAAATAATTGATAAAAATTATTTCAATTGAAATTGTTGTTTTATTTATCGATAAGAGTGATTTTAGCATTCTATTTTAGGAAAGCAACACACACGGACAGCTCCGTTAATTTTCATTTGATTTCAATGTAATTAGGCTCCAAATAACCTGTTTCTAGACTTCAATTTAATTTCGACAGATTTGCACCTGAGACTTCAAAATTAAAATTATTGAACATTGAAAATTTTCGAAAAATGATGATGCTGAAATAGTTTTTGCCTCATAACTCTGTCACTGAACTAGTTTTTGCCTTACAACTCCATTAATTTTCATCTGATTTCAGTGTAATTAAGCTCTAATTGAAGCCAATTAAATTCTCTACAAACCTGTTAATTATTATTTTAATTTGGATTCGAAAGTTTTACACCTAAGAAGCTTCGAAATTGAATTTATCAAAAATTGAAAATTTTTCAAAAATGACAGCTCCGTTAATTTTTGTTTAATTTCAATGTAATTAAGCTCTAATTAAAGCCAATTAAATTCTCTACAAATCTGTTAATTAAGATTTCAATTTGGTTCCGATAGTTTTACACCTGAGAAGTTTTAAAATTGAATTCATTGAATATTAAAAATTTTCCACAAATGAAACTGAGTTAGATTTTGCCTCACAGCTCCGTTAATTTTCATCCAATTTCAGTGTAATTAAGCTCTAATTAAAGCCAATTAGCTTCTCTTCAAACCAATTTATCAATATTTCAATTTAATTTCAACGGTTTACAACTGAGAAGGTTCAAAATTTAATTTATCGAACATTGAACATTTTCCAAAAATGACACTGAGGCAGTTTTTGCCTCACAACTGTGTTAATTTTCATGCGATTTCAATCTAATTAGGCTCTAATTAAAGCCAGTTAAATTCTTTAACAACCTATTTATCAAGATTTTTATCTAGTTTCAACAGTTTACAACTGAGAAGCTTCAAGATTGAAATTATCGAACATTGAACATTTTTCAAAAATGACACTGAGACAGTTTTTGCCTCACAACTCTGACACTGATCTAGTTTTTGCCTTACAACTCCATTAATTTCCATCTGATTTCAGTGTAATTAAGCTCTAATTGAAGCCAATTAAATTCTCTACAAACCTGTTAATTATTATTTTAATTTGGATTCAAAAGTTTTACACCTGAGAAGCTTTAAAATTGAATTTATCGAATATTAAAAATTTTCTACAAATGAAACTGAGTTAGTTTTTGCCTCACAGCTCCGTTAATTTTCATCCAATTTCAGTGTAATTAAGCTCTAATTAAAGCCAATTAGCTTCTCTTCAAACCAACTCATCAAGATTTCAATTTAATTTCAATAGTTTACAACTGAGAAGGTTCAAAATTTAATTTATCGAACATTGAACATTTTCCAAAAATGACACTGAGACAGTTTTTGCCTCACAACTGTGTTAATTTTCATCCGATTTCAATCTAATTAGGCTCTAATTAAAGCCAGTTAAATTCTCTAACAACCTATTTATCAAGATTTTTATTTAGTTTCAACAGTTTACAACTGAGAAGCTTCAAGATTGAAATTATCGAACATTGAACATTTTTCAAAAATGACACTGAGACAGTTTTTGCCTCACAACTCTGACACTGAACTAGTTTTTGCCTCACAACTCCATTAATTTTCATCTGATTTCAGTGTAATTAAGCTCTAATTGAAGCCAACTAAATTCTCTACAAACCTGTTAATTATTATTTTAATTTGGATTCAAAAGTTTTACACCTGAGAAGCTTTAAAATTGAATTTATCGAATATTAAAAATTTTCTACAAATGAAACTGAGTTAGTTTTTGCTTCACAGCTCCGTTAATTTTCATCCAATTTCAATGTAATTAAGCTCTAATTAAAGCCAATTAGCTTCTCTTCAAACCAACTCATCAAGATTTCAATTTAATTTCAATAGTTTACAACTGAGAAGGTTCAAAATTTAATTTATCGAACATTGAACATTTTCCAAAAATGACACTGAGACAGTTTTTGCCTCACAACTGGGTTAATTTTCATCTGATTTCAATCTAATTAGGCTCTAATTAAAGCCAGTTAAATTCTTTAACAACCTATTTATCAAGATTTTTATTTAGTTTCAACAGTTTACAACTGAGAAGCTTCAAAATTGAAATTATCGAATATTGAACATTTTCCAAAAATGACACTGATACAGTTCATCCGATTTGAACATAATTAAACTCACATTGAAGCCACTTCAATTTACTACAAACCTGTTAATTAAGATTTCAATTTAGTTTCGAATTATCCCAATCAATCGAAACTGGAAATAATATAATTTCAATACTGCAAAACAGATGGCGTAGACGTTTGTTTTTCCAGGCCAGAAAAATTTGTATCCAGGCTGCTTTGCAGGGGTTTCCTGTTTCTAAATTTATCTATTACTTAAATGTTAAAAATATATATAATATTGATATCAGGGTGCAAACTAAAGTGCAAATTTTTCTTGGATTAAAAATACCTAACATCAGTTTTTTTTTTGTGTGGTTGTTTGTAGTGACAATAATCCAGAATATCCAACCAATCGATTTATTTGGAAATAGTGTGTCATAGCATATTGCGGTTAAATTTGCATACTACAAACAATTATTTCTGCATTAATCAAGGTTTAAGATTGTAAATTTTAGCAGCTGGATGATTGAATTGAAATCCTGAACAATGGAAAAGGATTAGGGACATGCGACAGAATGTCTGGAAGGAATTTAAGCCCAGAAGTGTGAAAAATATGGAAATGTTGAGTGGTTTGAAAGCTTGAAAGTGAGGACCAAAAGGTGAGAAATATGTTGCTAATTATTGTAGATATTTCCCAGTAAACACTACAGCTACATAAATTTAAGGTAGAAATTTACGTGACTACTTTATTTAATTATACTTATGATAATTTGAACAAAAATCTAGGAACATCTATACTATATATTTCTGAAAAATAATCTTACTGAGATCGACTTGAAAGAATGATCTCAAATTTATATAAACCTTACTTAAATATCACAAATGTGTTTCCAGATAATATAAGCCACCAAATTCAACATGGACTCGTTAGTTGGAGGAATAGACATGTCCATATCCAAATACGCTGGAATCGAATGCATAGAATACGTAAATCTCACATGGAGAAGAATCGAAACGTCCCTAATTCTAGTAGCTTGCCTTTATTTGTTTTGTTGGAGCTATCCAAAAGTAAGCACCCAATTTTTTTGAATATTCATGAATAATTTATATTGTTGCAGTGCACCCTTCCATCAAAAATAACTTACAACGAAAAAGACCGAACTGGTAGAAGAGTTTTACTTATACTTATTTGTCTTTGTTGGGGCATGGAAATTGGATTCAAATGCGCTTCTAGAACTTTGATTTACTTACTTAATCCTTGCCATATAACTACTGCAATGCAAGTGAGTCAAACTTGCTGAAATCTTCAAAATTCTATTTTATTTTGTCTTAGATTTACTTATTAGCAGCCAAACCTAGTAAAGCCGTTACAACAGTGTTTAGGATTCATTTGAATTACTTAAACGGACCTTTGCTGGCAATTGTATTTTATGAAACAGAAACTAGATTGGTAAGAAACTTATTTTTTTTGATTAAATTAATTGCTTATAAGTTTTTTTCAGCTTCCTTTTGAAGCCACAGTGTACTGGATTCAACATTTGATGATGTTTGTGGTGCCTTATTATCTTCTACGGATAGGAGGTATACCTACTTAAATAATTGAAATTTTGAATTTTTTTTTTTTTTTAATATAGGTGTCTACAATGTAGAAAACATAAAAGACATGCACTGGACTGCAATGGCCTACAGTTTTCTGGTTGCTTACCATTTCACCATCTTGCAAGGGGTTTCTATTCTTACGAACATCAATATGAACCATATCATGTGTCCGCTTGAGTCAGATCCGTTTAAAGGACAGTTTTTCCGCACTGCGGTATTTTTTCATCAAGCCTTTCTTTGTACTTTTGTATGCAAAAGTTATCTTTTTGTTGCAGAGTATTTTTTAATTAAATGTAAATATACTAGAGTTAAGAGTAAATTGGATTGTGATATAGATCGCCGAACATACTAATGTTTGGTGTATAGATTTTTATTGGAGTTTTGAATATTAGATTGCTTGATAATAATTAGAATAGTAAAAGAAATTTTCATAATTAATTAGTGATAATTTAAAGTTTCTAGACAAAAATTTACCTATTCAATTTCAAAAAAATCTCTTCCTACTCTTATGGTTTTTTTTTGTAATAAAATAGTTTTAACAAGTAAGTTTTTTTTCCAATAAATCACACTGAGACAGTTTTTGCCTTACAGCTTCTTCAATTTTCAACCGATTTCAACGCAATTAGGCTATAATTAAAGCCAATTAGATTCTCTACAAACCTATATCAGGGAGATTTTGATTTGGTCTTAACAGTTCTGCACCGAGGAGCTTCAAAATTGATATTATTGAACATTGAAAATTTTCCAAATATGACACAGAGACAGAGTTCTTGCCGAGTCGTAATCTTCCTCTTCACAAGTAAAAAGTTTCAAATTTTTCCCTTAACTAGGTTTCTAGGAAAACTTTGAAATGTGTGAGACTGTATTTTTAAATAATTCGGTTATTGTAGGTTGATATCCAATATTTTTCATGTAGTTATTTTCCACTGGAAAAATTTGAAATTTTGGGAAAATAAGCCTCTAACCAAAGTCTAACCTTCCTCTTCACATGCAAAAAATATCAAATTTTTCCCTCAACTGGTTTTCCAGGGAAACTTTGAAATGTATGAGACTGTATTTTCAATTAGGTAATTTAGTTATTGTAGTTTGATTTCCAAGATTCTTCATGTTGTTATTTTCCACTGGAAAAATTTTAACTTTTGGGAAAATGAGCTTTTGACTCGAGTTTTTGCTTAACAGCTCTTTTAATTCTTATCCAATTTCAACGCAATTAGACTCTAATTAAAGCCAGTTGATTCTCTATATATCTATTAATTGAGATTTTGATTTGGTTCCAACAGTTTTACACCTGGGGCCTAATTCTTGAAACAGGAGAGCAGCATTCCCGGGAGAACGAGTATTCCGTCTCTGTTGTTTTCATATCATTAAGAAAGACGGAACACTCGTTCTCCTGGGAACACACTGCTTCCCTGTTTCAAGAATAAGGACACTGGAGAAGTTCCAACATTGAAAATTTTCCAAAAATGACACTGAGACAGTTTTTGCCTCACAGCTCTGTTGATTTCAATCCCATTTCAGTGTAATTAAGCCAGGGGCGGATGAGGAGCATAAAACCGGCCCGGGAAACTGTTGGCACCGGCCTGGGGGGCTTTATTTCAAATTGATGCAACTTTGTGTACACGCAAATATGACGCCCATGACGTCAGTTGCGATTGAAAAAGTGCATGTCAAATAAGCCGTGAATCAATTTTCAATCACGAATGACGTCATTCGCGTGTGCGCAAAGTTGCATCAATTTCAAATAATGCTCGGTGGTCTGCCAAATCAGTATTTTAAAACCATTTCATGTATTTTTCTGAAACTAAGTTTTTCAAGTAGGTACCTACCTATCTAATGGTAAATGATTGGGTGAGATACGTAATATGAATAGGTACTCACGCCTAACATTGAAGTTATGAAGAAAAAATCTCAAACAAGTATCTATTTTTCTGTCAAAATTTTAAAAAAAATGCTATTGGAAAGTGTTTTGGAACCTAAACAGCACCTAATTATTATATAGATCCCGAAGTTTTTTTCATTCTGACACACCAACAAGTAAACGTAAAGCTAGCAGTCCCCTATTAATTAAAAAAAAATCTGTAACTCAGTTAATAATTAATCAATTCTATTTTTTCTTGGACTATTTAGGAGTACCTAAAAAGCACCTAATTCTCATACAAAAGAAAATTTCGGAAAAATATTTTTCACTATAGGGGACTACTAGCTTTCATAAACCTAGCAATACCTTAGTTTTTTTTGATTTTCTCAAAAACTAAAGGAGCACCTAATTTTCAATTAGAGGCCCTAATCAGCACCTGAAAAGCACCCAATTATTATTCTGACACACCAACATGTAAACGCAAAGCCAGCAGTCCCCTAATAATTTTAAAAAAAAATCTGTAACTCAGTTAAAAATTAATCACTTCTATTTTTTCTTCGACTATTTAAGAGCACCTAAAAAGCACCTAATTCTGATAGAAAAGAAAATTTCTGAAAAATATTTTTCACTTTAGGGGACTACCAGCTTTCATAAACCTAGCAATCCCTAAGTTTTTTTTTGATTTTCTCAATAACTAAAGGAGCATCTAGTTTTTAATTAGAGGCCCTAATTAGCACCTAAAAAGCACCTAATTATTATATAGATCCCGAAATTTTTTCCATTCTGACACACCAACATGTAAACCCAAAGCTAGCAGTCCCCTAATAATTTTAAAAAAATCTGTAACTCAGTTAATAATTAATCAATTCTATTTTTTCTTCGACTATTTAGGAGCACCTTAAAAGCACCTAATTCTGATACAAAAGAAAATTTCGAAAAAATATTTTTCACTATAGGGGACTACTAGCTTTCATAAACCTAGCAATCCCTCAATTTTTTTTGATTTTCTCAAAAACTAAAGGAGCACCTAATTTTCAATTAGAGGCCCTAATTAGCATCTAAAAAGCACCTAATTATTATATAGATCCCGAAGTTTTTTTCCATTCTGACACACCAACATGTAAACGTGAAGCCAGCAGTCCCCTAATAATTAAAAAAAAATCTGTAACTCAGTTAATAATTAATCAATTTAATTTTTTCTTGGACTATTTAGGAGCACCTAAAAAGCACCTAATTCTGATACAAAGAAAAAATTTGAAAAAATATTTTTTACTATAGGGGACTACTAGCTTTTATAAACCTAGCAGTCCCTAGGTTTTTTTTGATTTTCTCAGAAACTAAAGGAGCACCTAATTTTTAATTAGAGGCTCTAATTAGCACCTAAAAAGCACCTAATTATTATATAGTTCCCGAAGTTTTTTTCCACCTTGGGACTGCTAGGTTTATAGACTTGAATTCTGGAGCATTCTAGAAATTTTGCAGTGATTTCTTAATTGTTGGAAGTACTATTCTAGAGCCCTATTGAAGCTCTAAAGTCTAAAGTGTACTAAATTGGTTCAAAAAAGTTCTAAAAAGTTTCCGCTTCTAAACTAGGATTCGATTTAGAAATTTGAAATTGTTATAAAATAACTCTGAAGGTTCTCAATGTTCCAAAATGCTCCTGAAACATCTGATCCAAATTTGAACTATTTCAAATGCTTATTAGGGGTCTACGGAATCTACGTTTTGTAACTTTTAACCTGAATCCTAAGATTCTCGCGCTTTTCAAAATGTTTCTTGGGATTCTAGAGTGTTTGAGTCCTTTGGAGCGACCTAAAATGGGTTTCAAAATTCTAAGTTGTTCTAAAATGCTTTTGGAAATTGTGAAATGAATGTTTTGGGGCATTCGGAAATGGTTCTGAAATTTCCGAAATTTTCTGAAGCACTACAGAATGCTTTTGGAAATTCTGAATTGAATTTTAGGTCTTTTGAACTTTCCGAAATAACTATTGAAGTTCTAAAGTGTTTTGTAGCATTTTAAATGGTTTCTAGTAACTTCTAAATTGAATGAGAAATGAATTCTGTGGGAAATTTTTCTGGACATCTTAAAGACGTTCCTAAGATGTCCACAAACGACATTCAAAACGTGTTGCTTAGGTCTTTAAGGCGTCTCAAAGACATTTTGAAGACGTCGTAATGTTACAAAACCCAGCGTCTTTCAGAGATCTGCCTAAATACCTGCGTCTTTTAGGAGTAAGACATTTTAGCTGACCATCTCGTATCTATCATCTATTACTCTGTTAACGGATATTCATCAGTAACATGTTTAAGTTGGGTATTGACTCTACCTGCAGAGGTGGGAATCCCACATCCATGTACAGAACAGTGTTGCCGATAGTGTCCGTAATTCGGGTGATGTGGTGAGTCTCAGGGTTGGAGGTTCCCAAAAATGATTTGATTGTAGAGTGAATTTCGGGCTCCATTGAGCTTCCGGACCCTAGGCGGTCGCCTATATAGTGGTAAAACCGGCACTGGAGCGTCACCTAGATTAACACATTAAGGCCGGGCCTAGAAGCAGCAGAGGATAAATGCGTTCGTTGCGACCGATACATACAAATGCGCGCTTACCTTGAGTGATAACTAGGGGCTAGCAGAAAAAGCCTCAAATATTATTTCTTGATAAAAAATAGTTTTTAATTTTAAAGATGAAAGATTTTATTTTTTATATACCTATATTTATTATGCTTGGAAACTTCCCAAAATCCCTGCCGGCCCATCCGCCCCTGAATTAAGCTCTAATTAAAGCCAGTTAAATTATCTACAAACTTGGGTAATTGAGATTTTACTTTAGTAAAAAGCCCATAACCCACTGGGTATTTAAAATGGGTTTTTGTGTACTATGCCAACCCTGTTTTTAATTTTTAATTTTGGCTCTTGAGTTTTGCTCATATTTTTTTTTTTTTTACTTCAGGCCGAAATTTTTCAATATCAAAATAGGAAATAGAGATAGAACTCCGAATACAATTTTGTAATTAATTTATATTTCAAATTGCTAATAATAGAAATACACTTTGTACATTTTTGTTTTTCGCACAAATGCCAACATAAATTAATTAATTTAACTAGTGCCCCAAAATGTTTTCTATTTTCAAGCAAAATATAAGTGCTTTGGCAAGTATATTGCTAGGAACCATAAATCATTACATGAATCTAAATTAATTAACAAATAACAAAAGTAGGCACTGACAATAAATACCTACTTTTTGATTTTTGGTTCCAAATTTTTTAGTCAAAATATCTACACACAATTATTGATAGGTACTTTATAAAAATACTATATTTACAGAATGGACAAAATTGCCATACGGGTGGATAATGTTGTTTAGCTATATATAATAAATTATTTGAGAAAAAACTTAAATCAGGTACAAAATAAACTAAATTATAACAAATAATGACTAGCAGTAATAATAATTGTACTATAAGTTACAGTCTTCTTATGGAAAAGTATGTATCCGCACTTGTTGAAATATTTTACAAATTTCCATTTCTGATTCTATAATTGCTGATGAGGTATTAACAATAATAATGATGTGCATACCTATTAAATATATAGTGCATTCAAAGACAAAATTAAATTTGATTTTTATCTACACTGTATTTTTACAAAATGTACACAAAGCTACAAGACAAGAAATAAGCTGTTTTATTATAGTTTATGTGGCCTAGGATAGCTATGGACGTATAGCTTATTAGGACAACCTGTAGTTACTTTTCTTATTTAACAATAATTGGATACTACATATTAGGTATAAACAAAGAAAATTGATTTGAAAGCGCCAATAATTGATTAATAAATAATAACTTTGGTATGAAATAAAATTTAATTGTCACTATTTTGGGCCTCATTGAGTAGTTCCAAAAAATCCTTGTCGACATTATAACGCATCGCCTTGTTCATGTAAAGCTCATCTCTGCTCTCGTTGAGGTTTTTGTTCAGGGTTTTCAGCTTTACCAGGAAATAAAATTGCTTGCTTGAAATTTCACGAGATTCCTTTATTTTTGGATCAAGTTCCACGTCTGGTTGTTTTGGTGGTGGAACGGCATTTGCCTTTTTCTGTTGGGCTTTTCCAGACATTTTCAACTCTTTATTACTGGATAAACTTGAAAATTGAATGTTTATTGTTGTTGTAAACAAAAATTCAAATTATTCAAATTCAAATTGTTTGAAAAAGAAGGAATTTTGACAATGACAATTAGCGAAATTAATTTGTAAATAAGTGCGTATTGAGTGTATTCGCGTCTTTTTTTAAAAGCATGTGATAGAAAAGGATAATGATAGATTTTTTACTCACAAGTAAAATAATGGCCATCAAGGTTGTTGCAAAAAAAGGTAAAAGCCATTTTGACGTCAAAGGAAAAATGCTGGTTTCCTAATGAATTGGAAAATAAAATAAAAAATTCGTCCACTGAATAACTATTTATACAACAAGTGCGTAAATTGAAAAATGGTGCTTTACACACATGTTGCATAAAATTTTTTTTCTACTACTACCTACTGACAATATAAATAAGCCATAAATCTGAAAAAATATAAAATCTGTTTTTTTTTTTAAAGATAAAAGTCAAATTGACATTAGAGAGTTATTTGAACTATTAAATATTGCCTCGCAGTATTAAGGCTCTACGTTATTTTATTTTCTACTTTACTATTATAGATCCATAATACTTAGGAAACGAAATACGTTAACACACCTATAACAACCTGATCCATAACGCCCGCTTTTGCGGGCGTTATGATCTATAACGCCCGCTTATAATACCTTGGGGTGTTTTTGTTTTTGTTGTTCTATTAATTTGCATTTTACCCTAGGCAGCCACTAAATGTCTGACCGAAAATAATTTTCGGTCTAGCCAGGATTCGAACCCGGTCTACCATCAACGTTTCCGATGTAGTCCAGAGCGTTAACCCACAGGACCACCACCGTTGCCTTGCCTTATGAGATGTTTATAGATATATCAATTTATTTCGTTTCTATGTACAGGTCACAGGTACAGGTACATGTCAAAATACAAATCAATATTCTGTCACACAAGTTTAACTGATTTTGTTAATAATAAATTGATGAAAAAATATTGGGTTGAGTAGAAAATAAAGCATTGTATGCACCACGGGGATTTCAAGATTATAATGCCCTTCAGGCGAAATATATCCCTCGGGCCATAGGCCCTCGGGCTAGTTTCGCCTTCGGGCATTATAATCTACATAATCCCCTTGGTACATAAATAGCTATTATTAGTGCATCAGCACTATTTTTCCAAGAAAATAACATTCATTGGAAGACTGTAGTAGGTGTTAGAGAATTACCTTATTTTGTATTCATAATTTTGACAGCTGATGTTTATAAATTTCAACCTCAAAAAGTGTTTTTTTTTTGTTTGTGATTTTCTGCTGATATCCATTTTTTGATGTTACCTACAGTAAAATGGTAAACCATGGTAAAATAGTATATTAAAATACAAGTTGCAGAAGGCCACATATTCCCGCACGAATTCGAAATTTGGTCACGAGCGACGAAGCAGCGAGTGGACGAACGAATGAGTGCGAGAATAGCCTTCTGCAACGTGTGTTTTATACTATTTTCTCGATTTTGGATTTTATTTTTCATTTTTAAATTTTTTTTTGTGAACGCTGTTAGTTGGGGATTTTTTATTTTCAAAATATGTCAGTTGGTGACACTTACTTACCAACCAACTGACAGGTGGATTCGATCATTTTCTTAGAGCAGGTAAAGCGCTGTCCTACGGACATAAGGAGTAGGAACGCGCCATTCTGCTTATGAAACTAAAGTGAAGCCAAGTTTTTGGCAGGTGTTTGGCACCAAAATACAGGTAGAGCATTGAATTGCCATAACCGCCATTATTTGTGGGCCAAGATACCTGGAAAAAAACAGCTTCATTCTCCAAATCCAGGTTACTACTCCTTTACCTTTACCTGCTCTAAGATCATTTTAGAAGGTTTGACAATTTTGAAGGTATACTTTGAAAACTAAATGTCACTAAAAATCGTTGAAGAATGAGCTTCATTCTTCAACGATTTTGCGTGCGGGAATAATGACATTCTCACATCAAAATCGAGAAAACATATTCTCTAAGTAAAATTACGTCATCGTCGAAAAGCGAAACGTCAAGTCGTCAAAAATGTCAGAAATATTGAAATAAGGGAAATTTACTGCTTGCACTTACCATACACAAATAAAGACAAGCAGTGACTTTATTAAGGGAATCCTTATGCTCAGACCCAAATGCGCATGCGCAGATGTCAAAATAAGGCTAATTTAAATACTGATCGTCCTTATTGCACGTCCAATAACTCTCTATTATGTTGGCAATACAATGTAAAATTGTCAATGCTTTCAAATTTTTTATGTAGAAAAGGCTTGTATTGCCAACATAGTTACTAAGTTTTTGACTTGGGGAATTATCTTTAAAAAAAAAAACAGACTTTAGGTAACATACTAAAACTTTACGCCTAGTGTGTAAAGTATAAAGTTGGTATTTTCTGAAAAACCGTTGGAGGAATGGTTTTGAAATTTTTTGGATGAAGAGAGAAAGAATTGGGAACTCATTTAAGTGAAATTTCAAATTGATTCAGTGAGAAACATCAACAGGAAAAATTCTTGAAAATCACCTTCCAGAAATTAGATTTTACAAAAAAACCCTTATTGCATTTTTCATTTTTTCTCCTGAAAAACTGTTGCAGGAATAATTTTGAAATTTTTTGGATGAAAAGAGGAAAAATGGAAGCTCAATTATCTGATCTTTCAAATTGATTCACAGAAAAACTTCAACAAGGAAAATTCTTGAAAATCAACTTCCAGAAACTAAATTTTACAAAAAACCCTCTTGCATATTTGATTTTTTTCTGGAAAACTGTTGCAGGAATAATTTTACCATTTTCCGGATGAAAAGAGGAAGAATCGGAGTTCATTTAGCTGAAACTTCAAATTGATGAATTAGTGAAAAATATTAACACGAAAAATTCTTGAAAATCAACTTCCAAAAACTAGATTTTACAAAAAACACTCTCGCATATTTGATTTTTTTCTGGAAAACTATTGCAGGAATAGTTTTGAAATTTTCTGGATAAAAAGAGGCAGAATTGGGAGCTCATTTAAGTGAAATTTCAAATTGATTCAGTGAGAAACGAGAAACATCAACAGGAAAAATTCTTCAAAATCAACATCCAGAAACTAGATTTTACAAAAAACACTCTCGCATACCTATTTAATTTTTTTTTCTGGAAAATTGTTGCAGGAATAATTTTAGAATTTTTTTCGATGAAAAGAGGAAAAATGGAAGTTCATCTATGTAAAATTTCAAATTGATTTACTGAAGAACATCAACACGAAAAATTCTTGAAAATCAACTTCCAGAAACTAGATTTTACAAAAAACACTCTCGCATATTTAATTTTTTTTTCTGGAAAACTGTTGCAGGAATATATTTGAAATTTTTTGGATGAAAAGAGGAAGAATGGAAGCTCATTTATGTGAATGTTCAAATGGATTCAGTGAAAAACTTCAACACGAAAAATTCTTGAAAATCAACTTCCAGAAACTAGATCTTACAAAAAACACTCTCGCATATTTCAATTTTTTTCTGGAAAACTGTTGCAGGAATAATTTTGAAATTTTTTGGATGAAAAGAGGAAAAATGGAAGCTCAATTATCTGAAATTTCAAATTGATTCACAGAAAAACTTCAACACGAAAAATTCTTGAAAATCAACTTCCAGAAACTAGATCTTACAAAAAACACTCTCGCATATTTAAATTTTTTCTGGAAAACTGTTGCAGGAGTAATTTCGAAATTTTCTGGAAAAAAAGAATGGAAGCTCATTTATGTGAAATTTCAAATTGATTCAGTGAGAAACATCAACACGAAAAATTCTTGAAATTTTTACAAAAAACACTCTCATATACAGGGTGTTCCACGACGTTCTCCCAGGTAATAACTTTGGAACGCATCATCCAATATAATTGAAATTTTGAGGATCTGGGTAAATTTTCGTGCCGCTTCTACCATTGTCATCCAATTTCACCAGTTTCGCTTCAATTTCGGTCAAGTGACGTCAACTTTCGAATCTTAAATATAACTCATGGTATATTATGGCATTTTTGGTTAGAAAATTAAATTACAAAATCGGGAATGCCATATTTGTTAAGGCTTTGTTAAAGAAAATGATAAAAAAAATTACAATGGAACATACAATGATGTGTTCCGAAGTTATCATTTGGGAAAAACCTCGTGGGACACCCTGTATATCATTATTTTTTCTGGAAAACTGTTGCAGGGATAATTTTGAAATTTTCCGGATAAAAAGAGGAAGAATGAGAGCTCATTTGAGTGAAATTTCAAATTGATTCAGTGAAAAAAATCAACATAAAAAATTCTTGAAAATCAACTTCCAGAAACTAAACTTTACGAAAGAACACTCTCGCATAATTGATATTGGTTTTTGTTTCAGGAAAACTCTAGCGAGAATAATTTTAAAATTTTCTAGATGAAATGAGAAAAATTTTTTCCAAATTGTCACTTTGATATTGCCTAAAAATTAAAGATGAATAAACAAATTATAAGGCTGTTCCAACAGGTCTCATGAACGGTTTCAAAGCCACTCTATGTGCGAATTTTAGGATTTTACGCATCATTAATTTTAGGTTTTACGCAGGTAAATGGTATGATTTAGAATAAAGCTAAAGCCAATTTCAAGCTAACCAACCGGTCATCTTGACAGATAAACCATTAATTAAGCGTCATTAGTCAACCAATTGGTATTTATTCACGTTAAATGCATTGCTTATCTGTCATCATAGAATAAGGTTTCGGTCGCTTGAAATTGGCTCATTATATTCACTTTGGTATTTACCTTCATATTATCAAAGTGACATTGTCATGTTATCAGTTTACCAAAAACAAATTGTCATTGTCAAATGTCATTTAACGTGTAGAGTTTTTTGAAATTCCAATTCCTATTTCTCTTGCGCTACTAGAGGTTAATTACATTATAAGCAATTCTTTCATTTCATACCAAATACCTAATTACAATAGAATATTAGTTAACAAAATTATCCTAATAATAAATGTTAGGCATCTAGAATTTTTGTTTTTACTCAAATATTAGATTTAAAAATGTTTGTTTCAGAGTAGGTATATCACAATGGGCAAACCAGAAACTGACCTTCTTGTACTTTTATCCTACACTCAAGCAATACCAACTTTTGTCTATTTCAAAGACAACTTTCACTGACTAAGAAACAGACAAATTGTTGTATTGTTTTGCCATTCAAATTTCCATCTTGATGCAGACATATATTTTTCTCTCTCCGTGTTTGCTGAATCGTTTTTGAGGTTTTGTTAGCCATCTAGAGGCGCTCCAAGGTAGACCATCGATACTTCGGTGTTTCCGTAAACCGCAGATACAGTTGGGTAAAGTTTTTTGTCTGGTAATCCTTGAAGAGAAAATAATTATCAAATCTACATTATGTAATGTGAGAATGCTACATTTATTATTTTAGATAAACAATTATTATATATTAGGTCTGCTTCCACAAAAATCACAAACCAGTCAGAGTGATTTCCATTGGTCAGGAAACTGGTTGTTGGCGATTTGGACCAATCAAAAACGCTGTGACTGGTTTGTGATTTCTACTGTGGTCTGTGGAAACCATTGTGGAAACACACCTATTAGGTGCGGGAAGTTTGAGGAATTTTTTGCACAAATTTGGTGAGGTGGTTCATTCCTTTTGCTAGTAATGGAGTATGAATATTTGTTCAATACAAAAGAAGTTTTTAAACTGAAAAATACTACGAACAGCTAGTATTTTGTTTGTAGTACCTACCTCTAAATGCAACTCCTAAAAATTCATAGTTTTTCTCAAAGGATAGTGTATTGTCGTCACAATCTAATATAACTCTGATTCGTTCTCCAACCTACAAACAAAAATTACAGTAATAAAAATGTGTTTAATTAATAATTATATAAAAAATTTACTTGATATTTAGGTGCATTATTTAATAAAGGATAATTCCCTTGCGCATCTCCATTATGCAACAAATGATTATCAACTAAATTCCAGCCCCAACTTTGATCATCAGAACCTAAAAGGGCCACGTATCCGTGGCATTGTAAAGGTGCATCCTTTGTAGCTATGCCTATAACGGCAACTGTACCGAGGGGGCCCTCCCATATCACTTCCCAAGCGTGTCTTCCGTGTCTAAATCCAATTTTACCTCGGCAAGCGTCAGTACTTTGAGCCACAGGATTCCTATGCAACGTAAACCCGTTGGGCTTAATGTAAATATTCCTAGAACAATCGTTGGGGTTCCAAGCGTGATAGAAAGCCCTTAGCTTCGCTTTGTATGTAGGAACTGAGGATAGAAGGTCCGATTTTAGGGCCTCCTCGGCCAACTTTCGGATGCAGTGCAACCGCCACACGTCGTTATTTTCGTCGTTTAAGAAGTCGTACCACCTTTTGCACACTAGGGAACAGTTCCTGAGATCGCGTAGGCTTAGATAGGAGAAAATTTGTTCTAAACAATTGTGCGGCAGGAGGTTTACGGCTGAACCACCACCACAACCGTCCATTTTTTATTTGTTGTTTTCTTGTTTCAGAACGTTTCGATCCATTGCTGAACAGAAGGGAAAGGGACGCGTGTTCTAAGGGTAAATAGGGGGTGAAACCATCCCAAACGAAGCGACGTTTTGCCGAATGCAAGAACATATATAGTGAGCAAAACGAATGAAATAGGGTAGAAAAAAATCTTGATTCTTGCAATAAACCCTAAGTTGACTTGTGACACCCTGTATATAATAATGTATATAACATGTATACACCCTGTATGTTATTATAAATTGTTGACTCAAAGCTTTAGTTATTGTTTACCAATTTTAACATATAGATTTTGGAAAACTCTGAAAGGTCATAATTTTTTTCCTCTCATAGTCACTGAAAATTTCAGCTCATTTGGACTTTAAAGTAGTTCCAGAAATAAAATCGTATTAAGCATTTTTGTGGTGGTTTATCAATATTTCAATTTTTCTGAGTGCCTTTTTTCATAGAATCTGGCTCCAAACTCCAAATATCAAAATACTTAATACCTAGGTCTGTTTTTGCAGGAATCACAAACTAGTCAGAGTGAATTTCATTGGTTGAAATTAGTTTTCTGACTGTTTTCAACCAATGAAATTCGCTCTGACTGGTTTGTGATTTCTGCAGAAACAGACCCATTAATAATTTAGTAGGTCTGTTTCTGCAGAAATCACAAACCAATCAGAGTGAAAATCATTGGCTGCTGAAACTAGTTCTCTGACTATTTTCAACCAATGAAATTCGCTCCGATTAGTTTGTAATTTCTGCAGAAACAGACCTATAGTTCCAGACATAAAATCGTGTTCAGTGTTGCCAGATCTCTCTGGCTGGTTTGTGATTTCCGCAGAAATAGACCTAGTGTATGGAGTTTGGAGCTAAAATTTTCAGCGATTTTTATCCCAGTAGAGTAGGTATACCTACTAGTTAGATAGGTATCAGCTCATTTGGACTCATGTCTGTTTTTGCAGAAAACACAAACCAGTCAGAGTGAATTTCCATTAGTTGAAAGTTGAAACTTGTTTTCTGACTGTTTTCAACCAATATTAAATTCGATCTGACTAGTTTGTAATTTTTGCAGAAACAGAGTTCCAGACCGATGTTCCAGACATAAAATCGTGTTCAGTGTTGCCAGATCTCACGATTATTCGTAAGACTACACGATTTTGGTCAAAATTTCACCATGAGGTAGTAGTTATTACGAATTCTCTCCGTAGTAATACAAATCGGTAGATAATTAAATATATTCTTTAACCGAAATGAAAATCTACTATACAATATTTAATAGTTATGTTATGCCTCTCCTGGTACATGCGCGCTGCGCGCCCAAGAAAACTTAAACCTAATAGGACTGCTTCAACTCTTGGCGTAAAATGCATTATACGAGTTTAAAAACACTAGGTCAAAAAAACGAATTCCTAAACGTTAAAATCACCTTTTTTAAATTTAAAATCGAAGAAAAAATTAAGCACAAGCACAGTCTAAATCGCAAACAATCCATCGAGGTCTATGGGTGACGTCACTATTATCAGCTGCTGATATATAGTGGTGGCGTCACTCGCAGACCTGCTGCCGACTCGATAATTAGCGAACGTATGCCTTATGAGCAATCCTGCGGATAGTGAACGTGAAAACGAGGCTCAGCTTCCAGAAACACCAGCTTAAAAACGGAAAATACATGAATGCAAGAGATTTTAATAATAAAATGTTTATTTCTTATGAATTTAAAATCATGTTTACTTTAGCAAAAATCTATAAAAGACATTGTTGTGATTTATTTTTTATTAACATTAAGCAATTTTCAGCCTTACGATTTTTCTTTCTCGATTCTAACGAAATTTTTTCATTTCTGGCAACGCTGATCGTGTTAAACAATTTGGGGCCGCTACAGTATTCTATCAAAGCATTCAATAGGTTGGATAAACCCCGCCCCTTGCCAATCAGTTGCAAGGTTATTATCAAGGCATTCAATAAATTAGCTAAGCCACGCCCCTCGCCAATTAGATGCAAGCATATCATTGTAGGACAACCAAGGTAGCCATAATGGATTTTAATGCAACCAATCCCGCCGTATACTGATGGAGGTGGATGTAGTGTCGAGAGGAGGAGTTGACGCACCCTGTTGCCAGATGTATAACGCAAAAAGATATTTTGAAGAAATTAGTTCATTTTCCAAATTCATTGAAAAAATAGGTAGATTCTGAATTGGAATTTAAATGAATTGATCAATTGGATGTTGAGGTATCTATATAAGGTATATTAGGTATTAGGGTTATGTGTGTATATACCTATCTGCAATAATAATTGGTAGGTATAGATAGGTCTGTTTCTGCAGAAATCACAAACCAGTCAGAGTGAATTTTATTGGTTGAAACTAGTTTTCTGACTGTTTTCAACCAATGAAATTTGCTCTGACTGGTTTGTGATTTCTGCAGAAACAGACCTAATAATAGGTAGGTGTTAGTTTCCAAAAATAATGAAATTACTTGACAACATATCGCCTATTTTTGGTTGAATATTTGTGAACCGATATAGGTTGGTATTTTCGTTTAGAGGAAAATAGGACTGGTAACGCAATTTGGTTTCGAAAAACTCAAAAAGTTGCCTGTGAATAGACCGTAGCTTCCTAAATTTCCAATTTCTAACTTATATGTTGAAAACGTTATAGGTTGTGCCTTGTGCCCTATTCTTTGTACCTATCACGTAGTTAAAATCACAAGAATCATTTGTTTAAACCATATATTAAAAATTACAAAAGTCGACTCTTTTCAACTATGAAGTCATATATAGTGTGTTCTATAAGAAACAACTGACCTTCTGTCAAAATTTGCTATTTCTAAAAAAAAAGTTTTTGTCATCGGATTCAAAAATTTCAGGTACTTAAAACCCCAAAACTTTTGTATTTTTTTGATATCTCTTCACATAGGTAACCCCTGTCTGTATAGGAGGAGGTCATGGGGAAAGACCTTGTACTCTTGAACATAGGCATTTTCTAGAAGCAAAACAAATACAAAGTCAAAAGCCTGGAATAGAAATACGCATGTACCTAGTTCAATCAAAATTTCAATATTTGGCAATACAGATAAACTCTGTTACGCTATCAAAGCATTTTATTGGTTTGATATGTCCCGCCCCCTTACCAATCAGAAGCAAGGATGTCATCAGAGCATGCGATGCAAGCATGCAATAAATCATATAAGCCCCGCCCCTTGCCAATCAGATGCAAACAAACGATTTCAATAGTATGCGGCCAAATCGCCTTAATGATATCGTGTTAAGGGGAGGAGTTGCCGCACCCTGTTGCCAGATGTATACGGCAAATGGATATTTTAAAGAAATTATGTCAATTTCTAAATTTATTTGGCAAATGAATGGATTTTTCTCTTGAAATAACGTACAATTATTATCGGAAATAACTCTGAAAGAGAATTTTCTAGATGTTTAATACACACCACACAATGGCTATATTTATTTTTGCTAAAAGTGGCTTTTGTCATGAAAATACTGTACCTATGAAAAAAAAATTGCAAAAATATTTGTCAAATTGCATTTTCTCCAAATTTTAATTTTTCCTAATCAAAATCTATCTAAAATAATTTCAAAATGTCCGCGTTTAATAAATGAATAACTTAAATTGAAGAATATTTGTCATAAACCAATATGGCTGTTCGCTGTTATATTTTATCAAAGCATTTAATAGGTTAGATAAGCCCCGCCCCTTACCAATCAGATGCAAGGATATCATCAAAGCATTCAATAAATTATATATAAGCCCCGCCCCTTTGCCAATCAGATGCAAGCATATCATCACGATCACGAGAGTTCGAAGAGAAATATTTCGATTCGATCCGCAGAACAATTATGTATTTGTAATCTGTGGTTTATTTTTATTAGATTTCTCTGCCTATATCTGCAACTCAACGTACCAGCGATGACGTCGGCAGCGTGTTGTTTCTCGCCTTGATTTGTAGGGTGTTTGCAAGGAAAATACACACTACGGATTATTTATTGGCCTCGTTTTTGGTAATCGCTGCCATATTGGTGTGTCTCCATTTCCGACGTCATAATTAAGTCGTCAGCTGTTTGCACTAGCGGTCGTAGTTTAGAATTTAAATTTATGATGAAAAGTATTATTTAGTTTTGATAAACGTACTAGGCAAAGAGGAAGATGAAAACGAGATGTAAAGTAGAATTGTTTTAGAATGTAAACTAATGTAAAACCAAGTATGCATAAAGCAAAAGCCCGCGGAATTATAACCTGTGGTGCAAACGGCCTACGTCAAGGCGAGAAAGGACATGCTATTTTATTACCTACGGCAAAATTGGTGATTTGGCGTGGTGAGTGGGGGCTTCAGATTTGTTTCACACAAGCCTTATGAGGATAGGCCTGCGAGTGACGTCACTATCAGCAGCTCATAGTGATGACGTCATCCGCAGACCTCCATGGAATGCTTGCGATTCAGGCTGTGCTAGTGAGTTAATTTTTTCGTCGATTTTAAATGTAGAAAAGGTGTTTTCCGGTCGGTTCTCACAGAAGAAATTAAGTGTTGCAGATCCTCGAGTATCCCAGAATTTGATGATGGGGGAGTTAGGGGAGTGTGACACATAATCCAGCAAAAGATATTATACTTGGTTATTCTCGCGAAAAATTGCCTATGATGAGCAATCCTGTAGAAATGTGTGATTTTTTAGATCACAAACGTGATCTTCACGCTTTTTCCTTTTGATTTTTTTCAATTCTCTGATAAAATATAAAGACTTTCTCGATATTTATCACAGTGCAGTGCATCAGTTATGAAAAGCTTGAACAAATTACGATACGACCAAACAGCAAACGGCCTAATTTAACCGAAAAAAATACCGGTTACAATCGATTAATTTTTATCGGTTCGGGTTCTGCTTATGTTCCGGTTCACAAAAAAAAAGCGGTTCCGTTCCGGTTCAATATCGTTACGGTCCGGGTCCCTGCCACAGATACCAAGCACTCATTTTATTTTTGTTCTTATATTAGGCAATTCAATCCATCTGTCAAAAAGGAAAATTCAATGTGGCGTGGCGACCAAGCAAGTTTGTTTTGAATATGTTTTTATGCGTATTTTAAATTATTTTGCATACAGTTTTGCTTACAACTTTGATTTTCATTATTTAATAAAATATTTGTTGACAAGGTAGGTACCTAAACTATTAATTCGGGCAGAAACTAGATATTTTTTGGTGTTTTTAGGCCCATGTATGGCCGCCACGCCATCTTGAATGTCACGTGGTTTAAATTGCCTAATTCTTATCTAACCGTGCGTTCGATAATTTGATCTGAGTTCTCCGAGCTTGAATTTACAGTTCGTTTATTTAAAAAGTGTACTCGGTGCTGGCTCATTCGCGTTCGCTTATTAAAATTTCGGGCACTCAGATACAGCGTTCAACTGCTCTGTTCGCTCACTGGTCACGTGATTACCACTTCGTTCAGCACGCTCTGCTCTTTCAGTAAAATACCGAACGCAATGTAATATGAAGAAATTTTGTTCCTAACAAAATGTGCGCAAAGTGTCTTTTTCGCACGCAAAAATGTATCCAAACTTTGTGTCGTTTCGTTCGTATTAACTGGTATTTGCGTGCGGAAAAGTAATTATTACACTTTGCGCACTTGTTGTTAGGCAAATAACATTTTTCATTTTGAAATCCTTTATTTTTATTTCCAACCTTTGTTTTTTTTTCCAAAAGTCATTTTTCCGCTTTCGTTCAGAAGGAAATAGAGTTTCGAATTCAAGAGCCTGGAAAAAAAAAAGAAATAAAAAAGAAAAATTTTGGAACGAGGCTTTGATGGAACGCATTAAATAAAAATTTCCTATTTATTTGGCTCACTCTATAGAAATAATTCCATTCTACAAATCGTCGTTTCGTTAAAACGTCGCACCAGCCGGTTTCCTGTCACATCTGACAATCGGCCGTAGACAGCTGATTACAGTTATCTCCTTTTTACGCGACAAACTTACCCGCCAACAAATTGGTGCGACAAGGAAGCGAAATTTATCAGTCGATGAAGAAAAGGCGCCAAACTCCGCGCCGTTCGGATGTCGTTGGAACTACTCGCGGCTTGTACCACGTGAACGATCCCGACCAATCGCTGCGTTCGCTTTGTGCCCGCCGCCAAGCAGAAAAGAAGGTCCCGAGCACGGAAAAGCACCACTTTGAAAAGTCGTAGACGTGTTCCGGTCAAAGTAAAATTCCGGAAATTTTCTGGAAATGAAAGACGAATAATTCCTGGATAAAACGCAGTTTTTAAATAAATTTTCGGTTTGGTCGTTGGTGCGTAATCCGAGGCCGAAATGTTGTCGTGTTGAGGTCGCCATTTTGGTTGCGCTACAGGATTGTGCGAATGCTGTGAGCGGAATTTTTCTCGTTTTTTCACATTTTCCGAAAGACTTTTTGAATTTTTTTTTCGGGCAACGGCACCGCAAGACACTGGAGATGACCCAGACACCAAACACTACCAACTGGGTGATCCAGGGATCGAATGGTAATTTTTTTAAATTTACTGCATGTGTCTCTACCACAGGGGGGTGGATTTGTCTTTATTTTTTCAAAAATAATTTCAATTACCAGATTAATTTTGAGCCTTAAAAATTGCAGTTTAAACACGTAATTATTTATCAGATTAATTTAAATGGCGAAAACCTGATAAATATCGGAGATAATTGCGCCGTCATTGTAGTAGAACCTGAATCCTGATTGTATTCCTATTTAAGGTTTAAGTAGTTGAACTTGCTAGACACCTCTATAATAAGTTGAAAATTGAAACTAAAAAACTTGCGGGTTGAGAGGTTACTAAAAAAAATTTAAAAAAATAGTATGTCAAAAGTTCAAAAAACACAAAGGTCTGTTTCTGCAGAAATCACAAACCAGTCAGAGTGAATTTCATTGGTTGAAACTTGTTTTCTGACTGTTCCTGACTGTTTTCAACCAATGAAATTCGCTCTGACTGGTTTTTGATTTCTGCAGAAACAGACCTTATGCTATACCTACCTAGACTCTTTTTATTTTTGAAGAATAATTGCTCTTGACTATTTTATAAATATTAGAATATTAACATGTTAAGAGCCGTTTCATTCACCTTCTGACTGTCAGGTATGCAATCTGTATATTACATTACATTTGATGGTTGATAGCTCAGGAAGCCCATGAGCTACTTGGATAAATTTAACACAGTTTTAAAGGGAATTTAATGCTCTTTTGAGTTATAATATTTGCTGTTCCAGGATTTATGAAATAAAGACTCTTTTGAAAGGCAAACTTCGAAAATTCAGTTTGATTTGATTGAAAAGTCAATTTTTGTCTATTCCCGGCTCTGGATTAGGTTTTTAGTTAATTCGATTGATTAACTTTGTTTTTGAGTTTTAAATTTACAATGTCAGCCATCAGTGACTTCAAATTTGCAGGATTTATGGAATACAGAATCTTTTGAAAGCCAAACTTTAATTAGACTCATAAAGTTTAACTTTGTATGTTGATAGCTCAGGAAGTTCATGAGCTACTGGAACAAATTTAGCACAGTTTTAAAGGGAATTTCAAGGGGTCAACCACTATGGTCACAAATGTACAATGAATCTCATGTATTCCCATCCCAAGAATTGCAACTGATTGCCAATGATTTTCAGATATTTTTATATGATTACCAAGTGATTTCGATTTTTTCTTGAGATTCTTATATCATTCCCAATTGATTACCTGATTTCTTCGATGATTTATTTATTTATTTATACCCTCGTTTATACTATAAGTATCAACAGTCAAATATAGACACTTGCTTAGTCTAGAAATACAATTACAAGAGTTAAAACTAAAAATTCAGACACTAATTTATCATCAACATTTTTCTTAAAATTCATTCTATCTTATTAAACATTTGACACATCTGATATACAGGGTGACTGGTAAGTGGATGTATTCCTTTGAGGAGGTGAAAGTAGAGTCTATTTGCTAACGATTAAACATCATTTACCTCTATACCATTCTCAACGGTTTTTGAGATATTTTTTATTTTTATATTTAAAAAATTCACTTTTTGGGAGGTAAATATTTAAAATTAACGAAACAATAAGGAACATACCTTATTTAAGTAAATGTTAACACCAATATTTGATAACATTTCCATCGTAACACTTGGTATTAAAAACACATCGAGTAATTTTTCTTCATATTGGTTACTCTTACAAATAAAACTTATTTATTTAATAATAAAACAAAAGACTAATTCTGAAATAATGTGCCTTATTCTGAAGACAATTATATCGAGAACTTTTAATAATAATTTGTACTTTTGATGTACTATGAAATTTTCGAAATTTTTAAGTATAAAGTAACCATTAGTTTGTAACTTGACAACGAAAGTTAAGTTTAAACCGAAATAATTTATTAGTTAATATTATTTTCTCAATAATTTTCAATGCTAATATTTGTGTAAGTGTGTCAGCTTATAATTTAAAACGCGACATTTAATATGGCTTTTATTATTTTCCTTAATTTTAAATATTTACCGGGCAAACGAGCAAATTTCTTGGAAATTAAAAAAGAATGAATATCTCAAAAACTGTTGAGAATGGTATAGAGGTAAATGATGTTTAATCGGTAGCAAATGGGCTCTACTTCCACCTCCTCAAAGGAATACGTCTACTTACCAGTCACCCTGTATAGGTGATTGCTTAAATAAATTTGTTCTAAGGAAATTCAGGTAAAACACTTTCTTATCTCTAACCTTCACTCTATTTACTACAAAGGGTAATTCACCAAGAATTATCAGGACTTTCAATATTTCCCTTTATCAACCTAAACACCTAAACATAGTACACAAACATGCTTTTGTTCTACAACATTCCAAAGGCATCCTATTGAATATTATATTATCACAGCCCTGTTCAGGATAGAAACCAACCTTCTTAAAAAACATATTTTAAAAATTTCCTCTGTATTCCCTCAATAAATGATTTCCATACATTATACCGAGGGGTAAATAGCTCTTGCAGTCGGTGTACATATTTTTCACAATCTTCACACAATCATTCGCAATCTGCTCACAATCTGTCACAATCGTTACAAAATCTCACACAATCTGTCACAATCGTTACACAATCACACACAATCTCTCACATTCTTGTCACAATCTCCCACAATCGTTGCACAATATCTCACAATCGTTACACAATCTCCGAGACAATGGGTACATTCAGGCAGTGCTAGGCGGACAATCTGTCACAATCGTTACACAATCACACACAATCTCTCACATTCTTGTCACAATCTCCCACAATCGTTGCACAATATCTCACAATCGTTACACAATCTCCGAGACAATGGGTACATTCAGGCAGTGCTAGGCGGCTTAGTTCAGCCATTCAGCAGGAACTTTCTTCTCAAAACAGGGGAGCAGCGTTCTCATTGGAACGAAGGTTCTGTCTTTGTCGTCCGGCATAACACTGACTTAGGAGTGCATCTTGACCAAAAACTTCTTTGGGATGCACACACTGAAATAATTTCAAATAAGCTTTGCAAAAACACTTTTTTATTAAGAAATTTGGCAAGATGTGTCTCATCTAGAGTTACAAAACAAACATACTTTTCTTTGCTACACTCACATGTAGGTTATGCTTTGCTAATATGGGGTCATGCAAATGGAGCACATGCAGAGAAGGGCTGTTAGAATACTGGCTGGTTTGGGCTATCGAGATGACTGCAAACAGGCTTTTATTGACAACAGAATTTTGACATTGCCCTGTGAGTATATCCTGCAAAATCTAGTTTATGTTAGGGACCATTATGATTCATTTATGTGTAATGGTGATTTTCACAGCTATGACACGAGAAACAAAAATAACTTAAGACCCATCTACCATCGTTTACAGAGATGTCAGGGTGGACCTGGATTTCATTCTGTAAAACTTTTTGACAAACTACCAGAGCATGTACCTAATACAACTAAATAATTCCGAATTTAAGAAAAAAATTAAAGATTTTCTCATAATTAAGGCGTTTTACAGTCTAGATGAATTTTATAATTCCACACTCAGCTGGACAGGCACAAACATTATTTAAAACAAACAAATAAATTATTTTTCATATTTATTATCATATCAATTGTTCTTTACAGTTGCACCAACCAAAAATTATCTCTAGTCATTGCTATATGCTTGCTATATGCCATTGCTATATGCTTTTGTTTTTTAAATTTTATTTATTGATTCCAAACTTTTAAATGTCCTTGTCCTGATAATTGTTGTATTGGTGAGTGATAGTAAATTTGTAATTGTTGGAATTTTAGACATAACTTTTATATTTTTGTGAAGCAGATATTTGAAATCATGTGAAATGGATAGTTAGTCTAATTTTTTAATGAAATTGTAATTTTGGATTGCTAAATTGTATTTGATTTTGACTTGTGTAAACACTGTACTGTGTATTTTTAAGCACCAATAAACGATTCTGATTCTGATTCAATGACAGAGCAACCGTTCCTATGAGAACGCTGTTCCTTGATTTCAAGAATAAAGTCCCTGCTGAGTGGCTGAGCTTAGCCGCTGGGACCGCCTGAATGTACCCATTCTCTCACAATTGCTACACAATCTACCACCATCTGTCACACATGAGGTTCCTCCAAATAGTTTAATTTACTTCATTTTCACCCATAGCAATAAGCCAATAAGACTGTTTGATGAGCTTACTGTATGCCACCTGCAGCACACATTTCTGAACTATAATGGGTGGTATGAATAAAAACGAAGTACTTGCTACTATAGTCTAACAAATACCTTTTTAAAGTCACGTGATTTTTCTCTATCCTTGTAAAATTGACAAAAAAATTGCTGTCTAATTATTGTTCATAATATTCTTACCTGAAATAGAATCCGTCACTGCCATCAATTAGTTTGTCAAAGTTATTTTCGAAAGTAATACAACGAACAAACACAGCTAATAATTTTGACTATATTAACCTTTTTCCAACTCGAAAAGAAGCAAATAGAAAACGGGTACCCAATTCAAGTTCAGAATGTATTACAACAGACAGCACATGCAACAAAAGTGAGTCTCGCAACAATTGCAAGTATTAAAATTGCCCTCTGATTGGTCAATACTACTTCAGAAACGCGTTTGTAAAATGCTAGTGGGAACATATATTAAAATTCAATAGTAATTAACCACCAGTAGCTTTTTGTAGGTGATATCAACGACATAATCAATGGACATACGTTTTTTGCCACCAGTATCACGTGACTTTGAAATGGTATTTGTCGGACTATACTACAAGTAGTAGTATATTCTACGAAGTATTTACTTCAAAACGAAGTAGATACTACATTTCGAGACTACCGGAAATTAGTAAATGCTTCTTTGTGAAGTAAATACTACGAAGAATATACTAATACTTGTAGTAGTAGTAGGTACTTCGTTTTTATTCATACCACCCATTGTAGGGGAGAAAAATTGGCAATGATAAAGTGTCATTTATTTTGAAGTTTCCCTTCAAGC